GAAAAAAAAACTGCTAACCGGTGCATTGGACGGAGAGAAAGGAAAAGGAAGAAGAGAAAAAAAAAAAAGGAGCAAAAAAAAAGCGGGGGGAAAGAGGAGGAAAAAAAAGAAGGGAGAGAAAAAAAAAAGAGAGAACGGAGGGGGGAAGAAGGGGAAGGCAAGTGAAAAAAACAAAGGGAGAAAGGAGCGGGGGAAACAAGAGGAAAGAAAGGAAAGGGAAGAGGGAAGAGGGAAGGAAAAATGGAGAAGAAAAAAGAAAGGCCCCCCCCCCCCCCCCTCCTCGCGCCTTGTCGAGGATGGAGGCGGCCAGCGAGTCTCCGTCCCCTAGCAGCGGGTCCGACGTCCACACGGCGGGATCCAGCGACTGCACGCCGCCGCTGCCGCCGAGCCACTCCGTCGCCTCGGCCCAGCGCCGCCCGTCGATCGCGCCCAGCTTGCCGGCGCATCGCGCCCGCCGGACATAGTCCCAGCAGCGCTCGACCTTGGAGGGAGGAGGAGGAGGCGCGTCTTTGGGGCAGGGTCGAGCGAGCACCCTCGGCGGCTGCCCCGTCCGAGCGGCCGCACCGACGCTTGGTGGAAGGGGAGGGAGTGGTCCCAGTGGTCCGAAGGCGCGGGCTGGTTTGCCATCAAGGCCATCACCGCATCGGCGGCGGCGCGCGGGTCGCTCTTCGCGGCCGCCCACCCGTCGAAGGTTGCAGCGAGGAAGTCCTGGCGTTGGAGGCGGGTGGGACGCGTCGGGGAGGGGGAGGGGGAGGGGGAGGGGGAGGGGGCGAGGACCGCCTGCAGCGTTGCGACTTGGTCCTGCTCACGCAGCTGCGCGTGCGCCGCAAAGAGGACTTGCGCGTAACCGAGCCGCGCGCCTCCGAGGCCCTCGAGTGGGAGGAGGGCGGGCGCGGCCCCCAGGTCCGCCTCCATCTTCAGCGTCTCGGTCACGTCGTACACCTGCGAGGCGCATGCGCGAGATTGGCGCGAGATACGCGCGCCCGGCTCCGTCTCGACTGAAGACACGCCGCGCCTGTGCCGCGTCGATCTGACCGCTGCGGAGGAGCTCCATCTTGTCGTCCCGCCCGACCGGCACGACCACCGCGGAGGGCAGCAGCCGCGAGACCAGGCCCACCGTGTCCTCGTGCACGCCGACGCGCAGCTCTTCGGCTGCGGCCTGCGTGAGCCCTGTCAGCTCGCGGCCGGGCAGCGCCGCCAGGGCTAGCGGCGAGCGGCCGAACATGGCGGCGACCGCGCGGACCCCGCTCTCGCCGGGCGTGCCGTCGCGGAGGGCCTGGGTCAGGATGTACTGCTCGGTCGAGCCGACGAGCAGGGGAGAGTCAGCCTTGGCACGCGCCACGATTGAGACCTCCTCGGCACGCTCGCCGGCGCCGCCCAGAGGGAGGATGTCCAGCTCGATGCCGCGGCGAGCGTACCTGCCGGAGGTCGCGGCGACGGGTGGGAGACAGAGGTGGAGGAGTGGTTGAGGCCGAGACGCACCTCCCGGTGCGAAGCGCCACGGCGAGGCCCGCGAACTGCGGGCTCATGAAGTAGTCCGGCTGGAAGAGTACTTTGCGCATTGCACGGTGTGTGTTTTGATTTTGCAGAAGTGCACGGCTGGTGCCACGACAGCCGGAAGAGGGAGCAGGGTTGTGTGAGCAGGTGAGAGCACCTCGTCCGACAACCAGGTTCGTTGTGAAGAGCTGGGGCGCGCCACCCAAGAGCCTAGGTAGGTGCGGATCGGCAAGAGCGCAATCGATCTTTTTGCCCTCTATCACCTTGGGTTGTAAGAACTTGAAACACACCACGCAGGGGCACAGCAAGCACGGATAGCCGTTGAGGAGAAAGGGCGTAAGGTGTACTGGGCTGGGTCTTTAGGCATTGTGGGGTTGGCACTCCCATCGACCCTCATGACCTCCTGCGGTCTCTGAGATGGACACCAGTGGGTGTGGGACCACAGGCAGGATACACTCGAAGACTGGGTAAGCAGTAGAGGTCGATACTCGACGCGTCCCACATGGTCTGTGTCGCTGTCGGCACGCTGTCGACAGGACGTCGAGCGACACCGGTGGCAGTGCCACCCAGGAGTGGTCGGGCGGTCTCCCGTCATGAGAGAGCCACCATGTGATCCGTATGATGGTTCCTGACAACCGCCTCAGTCAACTTTCGTCACAGTTCCCGCTCTGAGAGGAGCTGCGGGTCAGTTCGACAGCTGGAGCTGTGTCGCCGGCGTGCGGCGGCCTGCCTCCAGAGGTGCCTCTGAGGTGGACTTTTTTGGTCACCGTGAGAGAACGCGTTCGAATTTTTACTCCGGAACTTCAACTGAGCACGCGCACCGGCCAGGGCTACAATAGTGCCAGTGAGGCGGAGGCGCGAGTCGGAAGGCCGCGACCGTCAAGTGGTCCCCCAAATTTCCTACAATCGCTGTGGACCCAGCCACGTATGCGCAGCCACGGCCGTGTTGCGGTGGGCGCGCCACCTCCCGCGAGCGCGGCGGGATCGGAATTGCGGCCGGAGGGAAGGGCGAGCCGCCGCCGCCGCCGCCATATACCATCAGCGACGACGACCGCGGCTCGCCCCAAACGCCAGGCGCTGGATCGGCAGTAGGGCTTGGGCGGCGCAGCGTAGGCCTCGAGCCACACGAGTCGCCGACAACCCCCCCTCATCGACGTGATGGCCGCACCCGCTGCCGGCCGATGCAAGCTGCCGCCTCCACCGCACCAGCGATACTGGCCGCGGCTCGCCGCCACGCGCCGGCTCGGAAGAGGGGCTATCGGCGGCGCAGCAGAGCGGCATGCGTCGTCATTCGAGCAGCACCAGGTCCCCTCTTCGACGTGACGGCCGCTCCCGGAGCCGGCCGGTGCGCGCCCGACCCACGCCCCCTCTCGCACCCCCCCCCGATCCCCCTGCGCGGCGCCCCCTCCACTGCGCGCCGGCTCGAGCGCCTATTGCCAAATCGCAACTTTCGAGCGCAGTGCGTGCGCCCCACACGTCACGCGAGCGCAGGAGAGTTTGCGGCAGAGCAGTACCGTGTACTAGCCGGAGGCATCGCGCCGAAAACCCCGCGCATTCCGCCCCAACAGAGGCTGCAGGAGGCAGATGGCCAATAGCGACGATCGTTACGAAATGTTGCGTCACCGGGAGCTCTCCAAGCTGTCTTGGGTGGTATGAAGGTGGGCAAGAATTCTTTTTCAGTTTACTGCCACCACGAGCTGCTGGGAAGGAAAAAGCCCCAGCGGCTCGCCGTCCTGCGTCGCGGAGCCGACTAGCAATGTCCTGAGCCCAAACTTTGGACCCCCCTCCGGGGTGGCTTGCCCGTTTGGGGTCGGCCGCACCGCCACCGGAGGCAACCCCGGCTCCGTTGGAGACAAGTTCGCCTTCGGCAACACCGAAGAGCGCGCCCGCCTTGCAAACAAACAAAAATCAACCGCCTTGCGCGCAAGGCTCAACGCTCGGGCGTTGACCGCACCGCCGTCGTGCAAGCCCCGCAGAGGTGCGGGCGAGAGGGCGGCCCGAGCCCGAAAGGGCCCGCCCTCGGCCTTGCTCTACATGGTAACGGATAAGAAGAGAAACTATGGACCGGGACACGCTGTGGTTCAGACGTCCCCCCCCTCGACGCAGTCGAGTGACTCACATGAATAGGGAGGAGAAAGTGTCCCCCACATATCACCACAGACGCAGCACAGGGGCTCCAATCCTGTCCCAGCCTGGGGGCCTCGGCTAGATCTCCAGTGGGGAGTGCGAGGGCTGGATCGACTGCAGCGAGAGTGTGGGTTGTGGACCGTCCCAGGGATAGCGTGTGGCATAGATGTTCCCCTGGAAGTAGAGAGGCTGATGTCTCTCGCCCTGCAGGAAGGAGAAACTCAGACGGAAGAGTGAAAACTCCTCCCTGCGGCAGGCTCCGGCTCAGGTCGTGGGGCATAGCTCATGTGTAAACGGGGTCTGGGGCGGCAGCCCCAGTGGCCCGCCGCAGGCGCCGCCGGAGGCTGGCCCGCCGCAGGCGCCGATTTTTTGGCCGTTTTTTGCTCAAAATTGAGATATTTCTCATCAAATTATCATCACAAAATCGAGCTCACTACGAGCTCTCTAACTGCACAGCACCTCCTCGTTGAGCCTAGCGGCGCCCGCATCGCCCACGCCCACATTCTTCTTCTTCTTCTTGCCCTTCTTGCCCTTGGCCCTTGCTGCACTTAGCCGCTCAACCTCCGCCAGCAGCGGCTCCTTGGCATGCCGCGCCGCCTCCATCTGCTTTGCTTCCCACGCTGCCGCTTCCTCTAAAGCAGCGCCGCCACTAAGCGGCGCAACCAAGTTCTCGCACTGTTTGCATGAGCATGTGTCCTTCTTGGCGCGGCGCACAATCCGCGCGCGGCGAGTGAGTTGCGTGAGAGCGGAAAACTGACAGCAGGAGCTGTAGGAGCTGCAGGAGCTGCGCAGGTCGGATGGGCGGTGACGCCGTCGAGCGACGGCGCAAAGGCCAATCGCTGCTGCTGCGCCAACGAGAGCGGCGACGCGAGGCTGCTGGCAGCTGGCAGAGCGAATCGCGATTCCGGCGGCCGCCGTCAGCCCGCCGACACCGACGGCCTGGCTGAGGTCAAACTCCTCCACACGTCGGACCACGCGTCGGCCACGGCGACGAGACGTCTGTATGCAGACAGCCCGACACCCGGGCGATAGAACATGCCAGCTGGGCTCTACCAGGGCTCTCGTGGCCCGTGGCGCGTCCCAGTGGAATAGGGCGGTCTGCGGCGGGCGCATAAACCATTCACAGCTAATGCTGGCGAGGTACTCCCACGCCTCTCGGGGTTTTTGTCTGGCCGAGTCAACCCGAGAGGCGAGTCTCGCCTCGTCAAGTCTGTGGGACGGCCGAGCCTCGTTCAAGGGGCGCGTGCGTGCGTCCCCCTCTCGACTACGTTTGTTCACAGCCGGCGCGCGCGCCGGCGACGAATATGCGCGACTCGCCGCCGCGGCTCCGGGCCTCCAACGGCACGACCTACGCCCAACCACCGAGAGGCGCGCCGTCACACCACTCGCACAGCCTGCAGCGCGGCGCTGCGCCAGAGCTCGAGAGGGCCCGAGAAGGGTCCCAGATCTCCAGTAGCACACAATAGCACACGTAGCCACGCATACCCAACCATCCCCTGTCACCCCAGAGCAGATCCCCCCAGGCGGTGAGGTCCTTTCTGGTCCTTGAAGCTCACCCTCGCCCCCTGCCGCAGGCCCTCGGCAGCCGTCCTGGCGCGCGCCAGGGCATGTACCGAGCGACCCCAGCCCGCTCTGGCGCGCGCGTTCGGCGCCGATTGGTGCCCTAGTCGGACCGTGCAACGGACGCGCGCTCTGCGCGCCACACACGCACTTGCCCAGAGCTCTGCGCAGAGGCAGAGAGAGCGCGCGCGCCCCCCGGGGCTGCTGCTGGCGCGCCGCGCGCGTGCGATCCCTCTCTCGCTGTCGGTATTCGCCGGGCGAGTTTTACAGCTAAAAGACATGGACAGCACAAGACGCACACGCTGCTGTGGTCACCGACGGTCGTGTCCACATGCGCGCAATGGCGCAATGGTGGGCAGCGCCAACGCGCAGGACCATGTTTGCGCGCGACATGCCACGCACGGGTGCGCAGGCAGGCGAGGCCATGCCAAAGACTGCCCTGGGAGTCGCGCGCGCGCGTCTCCAGCCGACCGGTACGGCGGCAAGAGCTTGACGGCTGTCGTGCCCGCAGCACGACAGCCGTCAAGCCGCGCAGTCGGGTGGACGCGTCGCGTCGGACTTTTTGCCACCACCTCCACGAGTCTGTCCAGTGCACCCACTGGCCAGATGCCGGGCCTCGGAGGCTCAATCGAGCGCTGAGTCTGGCCGACCTGGCACTGCTGAGGCAGGTCACGCCTGCTGGGGCGAGCCTCGGCGAGACTGCGTCCAGCTGTTCCCACAGCAGGCTGGAAGTACCTCGCCAGAGCTAATGAAAACTATAACTCTCGGCTTCAACAAAGTTTGAGGTGTCTTCGTCCTCAGCACCATCAAGACAGCTCTATTCACACCCTTTTTGGTTTGAAGACACTCGGGGATGCCCGTTTACACAGGACCCTCGAGTGGCTGGGCCCTCCTGACCTGACTGAGCCGGAGCCGCATGTGCGCAGAACGGCTTGCGCAATGTGCGGCATCGTGTTGAGGGCTCGGGAGGGCAACGACGGCGGCGTTGCCGAGCTTGTACAGGGGCCTCAATCCTGTCCCCGATGGGGTGCGCCTCTCGCCGCGCGCGTAGCAGTCAGCGCGCGGGTAGCCTCAGAGATGCGCAGAGCGAGATGCGGGTATCAGCAAACCAAGCCCTGGGCTTGGATGGGCGCGGCGAAGCCGCGGCGCAGTGGATAGCGTGAAGAACTCGAGATCGCTGGGATCTTGAGCCGCCGCTGCCACGTGCAAGCCCCGCAGAGCCAGAGGTGCGGGCGAGAGGGCGGCCCGAGCCCGAAAGGGCCCGCCCTCGGCCTTGCTCTACATGGTAACGGATAAGAAGAGAAACTATGGACCGGGACACGCTGTGGTTCAGACGCGCGTACCCTCCCCACTCCCGCCTCTCATTTGTGTCACACCACGCGGAACGCATCTCCATCGCTTCGGTGAAGGGGGTGAACCGACCGCGCCATCCTCGCGATCGCCCTGCAAAGCTCGCTTCCGAGCTCTCACGCCGCGCGTAGGGCCCTTAGGGGCCTAGAGAACACAACCCCCTCTCCCTTTTCTCCCAGTAAGCTAAAAGTACATTGAAAAGTGTGGATTTGGGCACTGACTGGGGTGTGGAGGAAGTAAGCGCGATCGCGCACGCCGAGGTGCTTTCAGAGTCGCTTTCATGAGCCTCTTCGAGCCCGGCCCATGGGACAAGCGCCAGGGCTCGGACTCGGCGCACGTCTTCTCCAAGAAGCGGAAGCTCCTTTACGGCAACGATCACGACCGCGCCGACCTCGTCGAGGGCGGCGGCGAAGGCTACGGCCAGCGGGAGCAGCACCGTCTGCACACAGTGTGGCGGCGCGGTGCGCTCCGCTTCCTGTCGGAGAAGCTTCGGACCGGAGGCCAGGTCTTCAAGGAGCCGCCGGGCCGCTCGACAGTGACTGGCTGGCCGGGCGACCTCGGGAAGCACCACCTCGTTCCGGAGGAGCTCCTCGACCTCGGCGTGATCTCTGTCCACGTCGACGACGCCGCGCGCACGTATGCACGGATTCACTCGGATCGGCTCGCGGCGGCGACCGCGCGCTTCGCGAGGGAGGCCGCCGCCGCGGCGGCGGCGACGAGCGGCGCAGGGAGCGCAAACGGCGCCGCCGCCTTCCGCCTTCCGCCTTTCGGCGCTCCGCGGTTCGAGGCGGCGGCAACGTTTGCGGGCGCACGGCCTGGCTACGTCTTCAAGGCGGGCGAGCAAGGGGTCGGCTACTACGCTGACGGCCCCGACCCAGCGGCGCACGACGAGGCCGCGCCACCGCCGCTGCCAGAGGGGTGGGTGGAGGGCACATCTCCCGAGGGGTACGCGTACTACTTCCACTCGCCGACGCAAACCTCGAGCTGGGAGAGGCCGACTGCCGCGACCGCCGTCTCGGCGACCGTGCCCCTCTCGCCCGCCCTCACGGCGTCCCTCACGGCGAAGCGCCGCGCCGGCGTCTCCCAGCTGCAGGCCGACTCGGGCGCGCAGGTGCTGCTGCAGGGCGGCGTCGCGACCCTCTCCGGCACCGCGCGCGCCGTGGCTCGAGCGCAGGAGCTGCTGCAGCGCAAGGCCGCGGCGCTCGAGTTCGTCGCCTCTCGCTCCAGGCCCGCGGCGGCGCGCCCTCCCCCGCCGTTGCCGCCGACGGAGGCGGCACCCGACTACAACTTTTCGGGCCTGGTGCAGCCAGCGCCCCCGTCGGGCGGGCTCAACCTATTGGGTGCGTACAACTCGGACTCGGACGGCTCCTAGCCCGGGTTGACTGACAGCGGGTGAAGCGTTTTTCTTTTTTACCAACGTCGGAAACCGCTCACATCGCACAGAGCCTAGGCAGCTGTGTATTGGCGGCGAGGAGGTCACGCCATGCTCCCCGCGATGGTGGAGCAGGAGAGACGCGAGAAGTTGCGACGCGTCTCGACCGAGAAGCTTATCCACCGCGTCTCTGACCGGGTTGACGCCAGCCATCACGGTCCAGTGCTGATGCCCGACGAAGGGCCGTCAAAGACGTCGACGCTGCTGGCCGCGGGAGCCATCTCTGGCGGCGTGTCGAAGCTGCTCACCGCTCCAATCGACCGCATTAAGATTATCTACCAAGTCAACACGGACCCGCGCCATGCCTTTACTCTGCGGCGCGGCTTCTCGACGGCGAGCAGCATTGTGCTCCAGTCCGGAGTGCTGGCGCTCTGGCGAGGGAACTCCGCTGCGGTCGCGCGGGACGTGCCCTACGCCTCCATAGTGTTTGCTTCGTACGCCATGTACGAGGACGCCGTTCTCAAGGCGTCGGGCGTCACGTCTGGCGCCGCGAGCGGAGGGTCGGTCTGGTCGCGGCTGGTGGCGGGCTCGGCGGCGGGGGCCACCGCCACCTTCCTCACCTACCCGCTCGACGTGATGCGCGCCCGCCTTGCCGCCGACTCTCGCTCGCACCACCACGGGTGCGCCAGCGCCCGCCTCACAACAGCGCAACCCCGGGGCGCAGATCGCACACGGACAGTCGAAGGACGCATACGCGGAAGGTCGACAGCGCCGCCTCACGCCGGCGCCGCCACAGATCTGCGCCGCCCGCACACACCAGCCCGCCAACTTCTCGCGCTCACCACCGCCCTCAACGTTGCCCTCCCTCCACCTCGCCCTCGCCACCGCCGTCTGCCTTGCCGTCACCGCCGCTCTCCACCTCGCCCTCGCCTCTGCCCTCGCCCTCACCACCGCCCTCCGCCTAGCCTCACCGCCGCCATCTCCCGCCCACTCCGCCGCCAGGTACATGAGCGGCGTACGCCACCTCTGGAGGAGCCCACCCCTAGTACCCACCCGTGTACTCACACGCGCTCGCGAGGACTCGGACTCGGCTGCACTCGGCTTGCCTTCGTGGCCCTTGTACTCACGCGAGGCTCCGACTACACGGCACGAGGCCGCACTCCTCGCCCTGACGCTGGTGTGCTCGTGGCGCAGGAGCGAGGGCCCGCGCGGGCTGTACGCCGGCCTCCGCCCAACCATCCTCGGGATCGTGCCGTACTCGGGGCTCTCTTTCTCCGCCTTTGAGACGCTCAAGGCCCACCTGAGGGACTCCTCCCGCACCAGAGCAGGCCGAGAGACAGCCGAGAGACAGCCGAGAGACAGCCGAGAGATAGCCGAGTTTTGCGCCTCGAGGCTCGGCCGTACCCTCCTCCTCCTCGGCCCACTACACCTCAGAGGCCCACGCCTTGTCCCTCCCCCACACCGGCTTGCAAGCCCGTGCCCGACTGCGCGCCTCCGCAGGCGGCACTGCAGACGACCCACTGCCGCCGCTGACGGGGACGCAGCGGCTGCTCGCGGGCGGCGCCGCCGGCGCGATCGCCCAGACCGTCACCTATCCGCTCACGGTGGTGCGGCGGCGGATGCAGGTCGGGGTGGGCGGCGGCGGGTACCACGGCGTGGCGCACGCGCTGCGCTCCATCTACGCGGCGGAGGGCGTCGCGAACGGGCTCTTCAAGGGCCTCTCGCTCGCGCTGCTCAAGGGGCCGCTGCAGTCGGCGATCGGCTTCTCCGTCAACGACTATGCAAAGAAGCGGCTGGCGAGGTAGCCAGTGTTTCTTTCGGCACCCGTTGCCGTGCGGGCTGCGCTCGCTTGCGGTGTATGTATCAACCCACACCTCCTCGTCCAAACTTTTTGCGCGTTGTCCGCGTGTATCTTTTATTTGATATTTCGCCTACTTCTCGTACGCGCGGGGCCGCGGGGGGGGGGGAACACAAACATCGTCGTTCATCCTGTAAAGTAGCAGCACCAGCTACGAGTTACGCGTTACGGAAGTGCCCAGCTACATACAACATAGCTGCTATGGTTCAAAGCCGTAGCTATTAGCAGCGTCCTCCCCTCTCTGTCTCTCCAGCTCGACCGCTCCAGAACCTGCCGCAATCGTCGTATCATGTGTACAACGCAGAGAACGAGATCGCACGGACTGGATGCTGCTCGCACAGCTGCTCCTCGAGCAGACCCATCTATCCCAGCCCTAAGGCGGAGGCTCCGCCTGGGATATTCTGGATATTCTGGATTTCCCGGTCCTCCTCTTTCACTATTTTGCCCACCTCCTTAGATTGCTCTTCGGTGAAGTTTTGGGGAGCGGATGCAAGGCCATTTTTGTCATTGTCCTCCGCAACTTTGTAGAGCGCTTCCGTCGCTTCCAATTCATTCTTGACCATTCTGTGCATCTCTGTGAATGGCAATTCCTTCTCGACAGCCCCCAAGTCCAAATCGAGCGATGCCTCGCGGGTGGCAGCGCCCGTGCTGAGCGAGCCGACGAGTGCCAGGGCACCTGCAGGGTCGCCAGCAAACGGCTTGCTGAGCTTGGGGCACGATGCGCAAGGCGAGTCCGAGGAGAGTGGCAATGGGGCGAGCTGGCGCGAGCGAGAGGAAGCGGAGTGAATGACAACCGGTGAGGGTGGCAGTGCCACTCAAGGGTACGGACGTGACAGCCACGCCGCAGGGCCGGGGCCATGCGGCCGGGCTGGGGACGGCGGCACGCCGATAATCGAGACGACCAGCGTGACCGGCTTGATGGCGGTGCGGCGGGCAGTGTCGTCCGGGGCCTCGGTCTGAATCATGACGCGGCCCTACGAACAGACGCGACAAGTTGCGCTGCAGCGTTCTTGCGGGCTGCGCGGCGCCGCCCCCACACCGACGCTGAATGCCCCGGGACGTCGTTGGATCGGGGCGATCGGGGGGGATAGTGTATTGCGAACGTCGTCGGCCGGTTAGGGGACATTGCGCACAAGTAGCCTTTCTGCTCGCCAACCTCGCTGACAAATATTCTAGTACGGTCTAACGCATTGAGAAGGTGTCTGACTGCAGACTGACAGACTACCCCTTGGGTTTCATTACTCTGGCTTGAGCCAGCCAAGCAAGTTTCCAGGCAGGTAGGTAGGTAGGGAGCACACCCGAGAGTGCTAGTCGCAGAGGTGCGAGTCCAGCTCGCGCACCAGCAGCGGCTTGTCGATGGAACCATCCTCCGGCAGGCTCCCGATGAGACGCATCGCGCGGCGGCGATTCGCGCTCCGCCAGTGTGCCATAAACTTCGTGTGCGGGTGGGGAGGAACATGCGGGCCGCCGTTCGAGTCGTGCAGGTAGAGAGCGCTGCCGCGCATATCGGCGGGCGCCTGTGTGCAGAGTCGAGTCGAGATCTGGCCGAGGTGTCGGCCGCTATGTAGCCGAGATGCCGGGGGGCGCCTCCGTGCAGTCGAGGACGTGGCTGTGCAGATCCTCGCCTGGCGCCGCAGGGCGGAGGCACCACGCGCAAAAGTGGGCCTACACGCTCGACGAGACCTTCGCTTCGAGGAGAGAGATACAAGAGACCCACCTGCGTTATGGTCGCTGCCGGGCAGCTGGGGCAGCGCAGAGCGAAGCACGCGTCGAAGGAGCGCTCCATGTGGACGCCTAGCGGGGCGGGGTTGCAGCGTGAGGCAGACGGAGGGGGGCTAGCTAGGGCAACACGCACCAAAGGCCCTAGCTGGCTAGGGGCGACACGGGACACGCACAATGGATGCTGCGCCATTATTGCTACACCCTCACCGCGGTCGCAGCGCGGGCAGCGCAGCGTCTGCAGCTCCGAGAGGCGTGCGCGTGCCTCCTCTGTGGTGCGCGGCAGCGGGTCGGTCGTGGAGAAGGTCACGATGCCCACGGCGCTCGCCTCCGCGCCGCCTTCGCCGAGGAGCAGGCGGTCGGGTACCGGCACGCCCTGCGGGTTGAGGGTCGGCCCCTCGGCGCGGTCGTGGTTGGGGTGGCCGCGAGGCAGCGGGTACGCGACGCCGCAGATGTAGCAGAACTCGCCTGGCAATGGGGTCGCGGGGCTGTGGCGAGCGACATACGTTCGCGATGCGAGGCCTGGTGCAGTGGCGGGCCATAACACGAGAGCGCGTGTGTGTCTTGCATACAGAGAGCAAGAGAGATCCCTCTAAGAGCCGCCCGCCCTTGCACGAGCACGTGATGTGGTTGCAGCCAGTCGACTTTTGCACGAGCGCGAAGCAGTGTGGGCACGCCTGTGTGGACGTCATCGCCCACTCCGTGAGGGCCGGGTCCTCCCCGCTGAGCACGTGCCGCAACACGTCCCGCTTTCCAGCGTTGCGGAGCTCCTGGAGCCGCCTCTGGTGCCCGTCGCTGAGGAGGCCGCGCTTTCCAAGGTGCTTGATGACGGGCTCCGAAAGCGCTTCGCCGCAGCCGGGCATCGGGCAGCTCGGGTGCGCGATGCCGTCTTCGATCTGCACGCATATCCACTTGCCGAGGCATCCCATGCAGAAGTCGTTGTGGCAAGCGGGCACGTGGAGGCGTGCACTCAGAGAGCCACAGATGCCGCACTCCATATCCAGCGGGCCGAGCTTCACACAGGCGCCACACGTGACAGTTTGCGGCTCGTCCTCCGATGCCTTGCGCCAGCACGTGGCGACAAGGCATGCGGAGCACGTGCTCTTGATGTAACCTCCGACGACTCGACTCGAGGGAAGCTGCGCCGCCTCGGGAGGCTGTCGGGGCGCAAGGAGTTGGCGCACTCGGTGGGCGCGAATCTCGACCAGGAGAGCATTGCGGCCCGCGTTTTCCATGCCTTATTGCTTTGTAAAATCAACCCTGACCACCCGCACCCACAGGCAGATCGACTGCCGGCCCCGGGACGACACGTCTTGGTCGTTTCGGCCGCGTCCCTCTCAAATTCAGCGGCAAAATAAAAACAAATCGCCCTGACACGCGGTGCGGTGCGATGTGTGTGTGTGTGTGTGTGTGTGTGTGTGTGTGTGTGTGTGTGTGTGTGTGTGTGTGTGTGTGTGTGTGTGTGTGTGTGTGTGTGTGTGTGTGTGTGTGTGTGTGTGTGTGTGTGTGTGTGTGGCTATGACCTATGTGCTATGTGTGTGAGTGTGTGTGTGTGACTGCGACAAGGGACCACACCCTTTTGTTATCCAAGCTGCAGAAACGAGCTTTTAGTGGCTATAAGCATAGGCACTGAGATTATGGTGCGCGCGGAGCGCGCTAGCTGGACATACGCGCGGAGCGCGCTAGCTGGACACCCGCGCGGAGCGCGCCGGCTATGGGCGAGGAGAGAGGCGAGGCCCTCGACCTGAGGGTCGCGCTCACCGACTCCGGCTTGCCCTCGGGCGGCGGAGGCGGCCTGGCCAGCGCCAATGGCGGCAGCCGAAGCGCCAGGCGCAGGGAACCCGGGTTGAAAGGCGGCGTGCTGCTGCTGCTGCTGCATCTGCTGCTGCTGCATCTGCTGCTGCACCTGGTGCTGCTGCGTAAAGGGCGACCACGCTTCGCCGCCGCAGGGGTAGAGCTGCTGCGCGCCAGTGTGGAGGTAGGAGCCGCAAGAGGGCTGCACCTGCCCCATCCCCCAGCCGTGGAAGGCGGGCGCGCAGCAGCCATGCGGGCTCTGCACCCAAGCGGGGTCCATGAGAGCAGGCGCGGCAGGCCAGCCGAAACCGGAGGCTTGCGAAGGCATGGCCATCGACGCGCAGAAGGCCCACTGGTCGGCGAGGCCAGACGAGGGCGGCAGGTACATTTGCGGCTGCACTCCAGGGTTCTGCACCTGCACGAAAGGCAAAGGCTGCGCGCTTGCGCACTGCCTCTGGTGCGACGCCAGCTCTGCGGCGGCAAGCGCCTGCCCGCTGGGGCTGAGTGCACCGGCCTCGGCGGCACCGGCGGATGGTGTCGCGGCTGGTGCCTCGGACGGCGACCCCTGGGCCGGGCTGGGCGGAGGGTGTTGGGCTCGGTTGTCCGGCGCCGATTGTTGGGCTCGGTTGTCCGGACGGCAGGATGCGGACCGTAGGCCGCTACCATGCGCAAGCGGAGCGGTAGCGCCTGAGCTCCCGGGCGGCTGCGCCGGCCGCGCGGGCCGTGGGCGCAGCGTGGGGCCGGGAGCGGCCGGCTCCGTGCTCATGTATCCAGCGTCTCTAGACGATTACAAAGGATCGGACGTCACGCACATTTTGACAGGGACGTCGGAAATCGGACACATCCACTGGGACGAGTCAATTCATTCACTAGAATGACTAGAAAGAGGGCACCCATGGGGGGTGATCGCACCCGCCCCCCCCCCTTCTCAGCCCCCCTGCAGCGGCGTCGCGCGTTCGGTGGAGTGCGCGGGGGTCCCGGCACGGCTTTTGTCATGTTTTGTCCCGGCTGCGCTCGGACGTACCGGTGAGCGGTGTGAGTAAAAGAGGACGGAGCTCGGAGCAACTCAACGTAAAAAAAGAAAGAGGAGCAGCACAAAGACACCACGTCCCGCTCTCACTGCCCCCCGCTCTACCCCTCCTGAGACTATACCTCTCGCCCGTGCCGACCAACCTTGACCAACCCTCCGTGGGCTTCGGCGCGCTTTGCGGAGCCCAGAGACCCCCCCCCTCCCCCCCGACTCCCCCATGTACGGTCGTGCCCGGGCACGTCAGGTAAGTGGTGCAGTGGTGCGGTCCGCAGCGCCGCTGCGGCCGCGGCGGCGGCGCGTCTACAAGTCCTCGTCCTCGTCGGGGAGCGGCGCCATGGCGGCGGCGTCGAGCTCCTGCTGGTACTGCTGCGCGACCTGCTGGTCGATCTGGATCTCCGGCGGCGCGAGCGCTGGCGACTCGACAAAGACGAGCTGCGGGTCGCCTGCGGGCGGGTAGCACGGGCAGGGCGGGTCGCTCCGGAGGCGGCGGCGAGGGGCGCGAGGGGGCGGCGGCGGGGAGGTTGCGGGGGAGGAGGTGGCGGGCGGGCGGCGAGGCGGCGGCGGCAGCGGCGGGCGGGTGGCGGCGGCGGGCGGGTATGGCGGGAGATGGCGAGGGGCGATGGCGGGCGGGTGGTGATGGTTGGCGAGGGGCGCGGGGGGAGGGTGTGGCGGGGGGAAGGATGTGGCGGGGGCAGGGGTGCCCACCGCAGAGCTTCCGCGCAAGCCAGAGGAAGGGCTTCTCGAAGTTGTAGTTTGACTTTGCGGATATGTCGTAGTACTGCAGGTTCTTCTTGCGGTGGAAGGTGATCTGCTTCGCCTTCACCTTGCGCTCCTTCACGTCCACCTTGTTGCCCACAAGCACGATCGGAATGTTGTCGCACACGCGCACCTGACCGGCGCCACGCATGTCGGCGTCAATACGGAGAGCCGTCGCGCCGCATCGCGTCCCGGGGGCTGGGGGTGGCGCGGCGAGACGCCGAGGGCACGCGCGTCCCCGTCCGTTCCGGCGGTGCAGAGCAGAGCGCCCCGCCGCCCCTCCCTCCGCTCCCTCCGCCGCCGCCGCCCGCCGCTCTCCCCTTGGGTGGGGCGGCAGCTCGCCAGGTCCCGGTGCCAGTTGGGAACATTCTTGTAGGTGATGCGCGAGGTGACGTCAAACATCATGATGGCGCACTGGCCCTGGATGTAGTACCCGTCGCGCAACCCGCCAAACTTCTCCTGCCCCGCCGTGTCCCACACGTTGAAGACCAGCTCGCCGCGGTTCGTGTGGAATCGGAGCGGGTGCACCTCCACACCGAGCGTCGCTGCGGGAGGGAGGGCGGCGAGCGGGTTCACGCGCGGGCGAGGGGCGAGGGCGCGGGCAGCTCTCAACGCCACGGCGAGCGGAGGGCGTCGCCCCCTGACGCCTCCTTGCTGCTCTGCGGGCGCCAGAGCCAGAGGGGAGAGCGGCCCGCGGCGGGCGAGGCGCACCGACATACTTCTTCTCAAACTCGCCGGTCTGGTGGCGCTTGACAAAGGTGGTTTTGCCAACGCCGCCGTCGCCAACCAGCACCAGCTGCGCGTCGCGGCGGGGAGAGGGCGCGCGGTTAGAGGCTGCGGCGCAGCGGGCAAGCTGCTGTGGGTTGAAGGCTGTGTGAGACTTCGCTGTTGTGCGACGACGGCGAGCAGCTGCGAGCATTCTGCGGGCTCTTTCAGTGCCGCGCCTTGATCGTGGGCGGTACACTCGCACCGAGTGCTCAGCCGCGTCCACGCTCCTGCCGCAGATGGCAGACAAAGGGAGCAATAACGAAAAGTAAGAAAAGAAATTCGCGCCAACCACCGCCATACTGTTTTTATGGCGGTCAACTAGAAGCAACGAAAAAAGTAAAAAAAGAACTGTTGTTGAGCCAGGACTCAACATACTCGGGCTTGCAATCCCAAACTGTCACTCCCCTTTCTCCCGGCCGGGGTGGGGCGCGCGCGGGGGCGGCGGGTGTGCGCGGGTGTGAGGGATGTCTGTGAGCCCGAGAGCGATATGCCATGTCCGCCTTGCGTTGTTTTCATACATCGAAGGCTAAGCTCAAAAAAAGAACTTCGCGCCGAAGAGTGCCCAATCGTGCCGGCCACCGCCACAGCTCGTCCACAGGTGCAGGTCAGTTCACGCATGTCTATGCGGTTCGTCGCCCTCGCCCTCCTCGCCACGACTGCGCATGGTGCGTCCGCGCCGGCGCTGCGTCTTCGCGGCGGCACGACCACCAAGTCTTCCGCCGTCGTGGCCGAGTCTGGGCTCACGCCTGCGTCTCGCTGCCTCTCCACCCGTGGCGGCGGTGTGCCGTCTGGCGTGATGAGCAAGGTCGACGTCCCGCTGCTGAGCTACTTTGCCTTCTGGTACCTCGGCAACTACTACTACAACATCGCAAACAAGCAGTGCCTCAAGGCGGCCGGCGGCGCGGCAGGCTTCCCGATGACGATTGGCGTGCTGCAGCTCGGCGTGGGCGTGCTGTACGCGCTGTACATGTGGGCCGCGCCGGACTCGCGGTCGGTGCCGTCAGTGACCAAGGACGACCTCGTCAAGATGCTCCCCGTCGGCTTTTGCGCGATGGGCGCCCACTGCTTCAGCGTCTTTGCTCTCTCCGCCGGCGCCGTCTCGTTCGGGCAGATCGTGAAGGCGGCGGAGCCCGCCTTCGCCGCCGTCGTCTCGACGGCCGTGTACGGCAAGTCCATCTCGACGGCCAAGTGGCTCGCACTCATCCCCGTCATCGGCGGCGTCGTGCTCGCCTCTGTCAAGGAGCTTGACTTTGCGTGGTCGGCGCTCATCGCCGCGTGCACCGCCAATCTCTTCGCCGCCTTCAAAGCGAACGAGAACAAGAAGCTGATGGAGACGCCCGGCCTCAAGGACCGGATCGGGTCGGTGGGCAACCAGTTCGCCCTCACAACCATCCTCTCCTTCCTCTTCGGCCTGCCGCTGCTTCTCGCGCGCGAGGGGCACAAGTGGTCCGAGTTTGTGTCGCTCTTCCGCTCCAACAGCGTCATCTCGACCAACCTCTTCACCTCGGGGCTCTACTTCTACCTCTACAACGAGCTCGCAACCCTCACCATCAAGAAGACGAACGCCGTCACCCAATCGGTTGCAAACACCGCCAAGCGTGTCATCGTCATCGTCGGTGTCGCGCTCGTGCTCGGCGAGTCGCTCGCGCCCATCAAGCTGCTCGGCTGCGCCATCGGCATCGGCGGCGTCCTGCTCTACTCGCTCATCGACAAGATCGTCTATGGCTAGGCGCCGCGCGGACAGCGCGCGTCGCCGCGAACAGAGGCGGCCGACGGACCTTGCGGCCCACCCAGGACATAGTTCCCCGCGGGGCGTAGCGAGAGAGGGGGCCACGATACGTACACAAGACAGGACCTGTTCCCGCAGATCGCCTGACGCAGATGCTAGGAGCGATTCTCTGGAGCGATGTACGGACACGTTATCATCATCGTTATTCGTCTCGTTATTACACGTTACACGTATTCGTTTTTTGTCTTTTTTTTGAGCTGGCCTGCGGCTGCTTGCCAACAGGGCGGCTGCGCGCCGCCGCTGGCAGTGGCACGCGCTGCGTCCTCTGGCTCCCGTGCCTGCGCGCGCCGTGCTGCGATGGCCTGACGACATGCCTGACGACTGTGGACCGTGAGGCCCTGAGGCCTGAGGCCTGAGAGCGGCGCTCTCGTCGCGTACTGTGGCGGTGCACCTTTTCTCTTCACACTCTTGTGTGTGTCGCGTACGCGGGCTTTTTAAGATTTAACCTTATTTTCGTTTTTGTTTTATGTTTTTACGACACGGGATAATGGATTCATAAACGAAAACAATCATTAATTATAATAATAATGCAAAAGTTGCAAGCATGGTTGCATGATGCAACACTGAAACACATATCACACTCTCCTCTCAAAAACGCACGCACACACGTACACACTCACACACACACACACACGTGCGTCGGCGGCGTGTGTGTGAGTACACCGCTCGTCTCAGGTCACAGAGGCCCTCCTCTACCTATCTCGCGCGCCCCTGCAGCATCACACCTCCGCGAGCCGCCGCCCACTGAGCCACCAGCCGGACTGGCCACCACGGATGGCGGTGTTGTGTTGTGTGGCTCCTCGCGCGTGTGGCGCGTGCGTCTCGGAGCCTGTCGGCGCCCGCTGCCCTGGCTGCGCCTCACGGCCTCTCCCACTGCGTGTGTCCGGACGAGGTGTGCAGGAAGTAGGCGTGGCCTTCGTGCTGCATCTCCTGTGAGCGAGTTTGAGGAAAGGAGGGGGGGTGTGGGGGGGGGGGGGTGCATGTTGGCCTCTCCGCAACCCCCTGTAGATTGAGGGAGGGCGGGCGGCTCGGCCGAGGTGCGCCGAGGCGGCGGAAGGAAGGTGCGAAGGAGTCAGGCGGGTGTGTGTGTGTGTGGTAGGGTCGTCACGAATCAAGGATGGTGGCCACCTCCCAGCCGGCTGGCAGTCCTTGCGCCGGCGGCGGCGGCGGCGCCGCCCCAGTCACCGCCGCCGCCGCCGCCGCCGCCGCCGGCTTGTACATGCGGAACTGGTTCGTGCTCGACTCGCCGCTCTCCTGCGCATGCGGGGGGGCTGCGGCGCTCAGCCCGGGCTCCTCGCCATGCTACTCCCGAGTCCCGCCGGGGCCCGCCCTGAGAGCCCCGGGGGAGGGAGGGCCGCCTGAGGTCTGGGGGCGCTAAGCCACCACCCCACCGGCGGCGGGCGGGTTCGACGCAGCCAACCCCCCCCCCCC